TGAATTCTCTGCACGTGTTATGTTTACATTTTGTAACTGATATGTTAATCAGCTATTGGCTTTTAAATTTTCATGCTTTATATTTACACACAATACATGGATACTTGGAAAAGAAAAAAGGAACTTGGAGAAGAGACTTCCCTGGAACGCCATAATGAATTCCTGACTTGTTTAATTCTAAAATTCAATTTATCCCCTTTGGAAAACTTGTGCAAGAGGAATTTTTGAAAACGACATATTATTTTGTGTAGAAGAACTCACTATTTTAGAAGTTCAGGCCCTAAAATGACGCTGGACCGCACCAGTAACCATAGTATTGTTCACATTTACAGTTCGCTCTGCGACTCGTTGCCTGTTCTGACCTGATATTTCTGAGACGGCATGTTTACCAACTCTGAGCCCGGGCTCACCAGCAGAGTCCAAGATGGTTGCCAGTTTGGTGAGAGCGCCTGAGCTGATTTTTGCTACAGATTACTTTCAGAGAACATTTTTGCGTGTCTCGTCAAGGGACAGCAAACCTTGGATGCGTCACCGATAATTTCACGCTCTTACGTGTGTGTGTGTGTGTGTGTGTGTGTGTGTGTGTGTGTGTGTGTGTGTGTGTGTGTGTGTGTGTGTGTGTGTGTGTGTGTGTGTGTGTGTGTGTGTGTGTGTGTGTGTGTGTGTGTGTGTGTGTGTGTGTGTGTGTGTTTTCTTCTGGCTAACACAAACCACATGTGAAATTAACCTCAGGCAGATGCTGGTGTTGGGGAAGCTTTGTGTCCCCGAGTGTAGGCCCAGATAGGGGGATTACAGATGGTAGAGATGGATGACGAGATAGGGAAGTGGAGGAGTTTAAAAAGAGGAAAATGGGTACACATGGCAGCCAGAGATTAGACCAACTGTTTTCACTGCTGGGTGGCTCACTCCCTTTTTCTCTCTGAATTACATGCCAGGACAAAAAGTACACAGCTGTCTCCTATCTATCTGCGCTGGTAACCTGGTATGGCAGAGGGGGTGGTATAGGGGGCACAGTAGCTGAGAGAGGGGGTGGAAAATGGGGTTTATCCCTCAGAAGTCTCTGTGCACTGTTTTTTGCGGTATTATGGCACAGCACAGCATGCTGGGGCAATGAGGTCAGAAACTTGAAACAGAACCTAGTGAGAGCCAGCCGGTTCATTGCCAGAGTAGTTTTCCCTGATTTACAGGCTGCATTAGCTAACTAAGAAGAGGGATTTTATTATGAATCTTGATGTAAATTTCAGTCAGTAAAGTCTTTTTTCCCACAGAAATACATTATATTAAGGTTGTTGCTTGACTGTAACTTAAAGGTGGAAATGAAACGCAGTGGAGACACCATACGTTGGTGTTTTTTTTGTGCCTAAACATGAGTCCTTTTTAGATTTTAAAACTCAGCCTTGAAGCTAGAATCCCTCCCAGTGGCACAATGCTTCAGTAACAATACACCCTATCCTGTTCTTGCTGTGGCTGAGCTGATACAATCCTCAAGCCCTCAAGACCCCTATGGAAGACCTACTTTCTTAGGATTTGCGTGATAACCATAACGATAATCAGCCTGTCACTCAGGGAGGAGCTGTCAATATCCCAGCAGGCATCTGGCAGCCCCTTGGGGTAAATGTCGCACGTACCCCTATAACCCCCACCACCCCCAAAAAATGCACTCCCTTACAGCATGAATGCAATGAGAAAGCAAGGGAGACGCAGCTCCGCCTCAACGCCAATAACTCAGCTCATATTTAAAATCCCAGTTTGAGTTAGATTACGACCTCTTTATATACAGTCTATGTTCTCATGGGAGGCCGCCCGAGCATAGCAAATAAATCGGCATGAATAGACGGCAGTGTTGGCCGCGGAGGTCGCCATTCTCGAGCCACACATAACGCTGAGTTTCATGTGTGGTCATGGCGAAAGTGAAGTAAACAACTGGTGCGTGAATAAGCCAGTGTAAGCTGTTTTCAGGTTGCTAAAAAGGGCTTTACTGAAACTTTTAATTAAATGCAGTCACCTTGTATGAACTCTTTATATACACCCTCCGTCAAGGTTGTATCAAGGTTAGTCTGAAGGTTTTTCCGTACGCATCGCCCTCATTCAACCAGCAGGTTTAACGCACACGCTTTATTACCTCCAGGTGTATTTTGCTTTCATGTGCATCCGCCTTTAGTCCTCAGATTCATCAGATTCATCTCCTGCTAAGGGTTGAGTGCATGTTTTTCTGAGGGTTCATTATGTTGTATTGTTGTTGTATGTTGACCGGCTGATAACCTCTTTATGCAAAGTGAGAGGGGGGAAAATATGTACAGCCTTCTCCGCTGAGTACCACACTGCTATGAGGGTCCCCAGGAGGAAAGCCAGGGGAAATCTATAATTCATACAGCTCCCTGTAGGATCAACCCTGGCTTCATGTAACCATGAAGAAAGGTCTGTAATGTATAGGGTTAAAACAGTCTGCACCCCTGTAGGAGTCTGGAAAAAAACCTCTTAAAGGTTTTCAGTGCTCGAGCACAGCCTGAGTGGCCCTGAGATGAAGGGTGTTTGTGTGTGTGTGTGTGTGTGTGTGTGTGTGTGTGGAAGTGCTTCTGAGGGCACAGCTGAGGTTTAAGGCTGCACTGTACTCAAAACAAACAACACACTTGTGCTCTCCTAAAGACACGTTTAATGGGCTCTTGAAAAGGAAAAGATACTCTTCGAGGAATATGCTGCGCTGCAGTTAGAGTCAATCTCGAGAAGCGACGGGCCAAAAAGTTTAATTTTAGAATAAATAAAGCCTCTAATTTGATTTTTTAAATTTTTTTTTAAATCCAAGAAATCCTTAAATAAACTTTCCTCTTTAAAAAGTCCTCCTTAATGGCTCTCTGGTATCTCTTTGCAATCTCCCACAGTCCCTCATTCCCTTCGGTCCCCACTGAAAAATCCCCAAACCATCCCTTCCTGTTGTAAATCTAAATCGAGGAGGCAAACACGGCTTCTTGCACACAGCTCCTCGCACACAGAAAAAAAAAGCAGCAGTACATGAAACAGCCATGCATGGCCTTGAGTGAGTCATCTAATGTAGGGGGAGTGCCTCCACACACACACAGCCACTAAGCCACAGCCTCCATGGCTTTCAACAAAACATCTATTCTAAGCCGCTTTCAAGTTGTGAGCGATCCTCCAATTTTGGGGAAGCAAAGTGGAAGAAGACACAGCAAAGACATGTCTGACTTCACCTTCTTTTGCAGTCACAAGTTGAAATGTTTTGGGAAGTGGATCTGGGGAATTGTTTGTCATAACGGAAGCTCAGTTAACATGGCGTCCACTGTGCATGCTGAGGCTTCTTGTCTACATATGGTTGTCATTGTAGGATTTGCAGTAGAGACATGGGAAAGGAAGAACAAACGCATGCAGACACACTACCATATATTTGTAATTCTGCGGTCAGGGTGCACTGTGATTAGCCTGATTGGGCCAAAATCATTGCTTAAAGTAGAATACCACACAAGCTTTGTGAGAATATGATCTCTCACTTGGCTACATGTCAAAAAGTCACTTGTCCCATCAGTGCCAGACATGTTAGTCTAATAAGGCAGGTGCTCAACTTCACCATTATTGCACAAAGAACATCCTGTTCCCACGAAGGGAACAGGTGAGCTTCTTCCTCGAGGTTTGTTTCTTTAGTCTTGTCGTGAAATTGATTGATTCTGTGTTGTTGAGTAGCAATTTGTCATGCACAGACATATCCTACCTGGCAGTTCGACAGAGAAAACTAAGAAATGTGGTACATGACAGAAAAGGGGCCATGTTTAAGGAACATTTTAGGGTGGTTCCTCTAAAGAAGAACAAGAATCCACCCAAAAATATGAGTCACGTCATGGTATTCCTATAATCCTGAGCTTTTTAGTCAACAGATGTGAGGTCCCTTGGGACTGGAAGTAAAAGAGCTTAGAGGTAAATCTGTGGTATATTCAGAGGCAGTGTCAATAGCTGCAAACAATGCGTTGCACAGCATGATAGAATTAAGGTAATTTTCTGGGGTAATTTCCTGCTTCTGATCTGTGAACAATACAGTGACTTAAAACAGGCGGTCAAATGTTGTTAAATGGTTCAAGTAAGTCTGTTGCCTTTGTATGGGCCCTACCAGCCCAGGATCAAATCTCACCAAGAGCTTTCTCTCCGTCTTTCTCGCCTCAGTAATTTCCTACTGTCTGAATACATAATACCTCACACAAAGAGTGAATAGACTGCCTGTACTCCCGCTAAAAGACACTAGATTTTATTAGTTTACAAAGCCAGTTTATTGTCAGTAGAGCAGCTCTAGAAAATGGCCTTTGGAGAGCTTATTAAGTGCTTTCTCTTAGGTTTCTGGACATCTATTGGCATTGTTTGCTTTGGTTTTGGAGAGGATTCACTTGTTAAGCGTTTTCCAAGTTGGTTCACTTAATTTTTCCACAATGGTTGCTTTTCTTTCATAGTCATCATTCTTGTGCGGGGCTTCAGTTGTCAACGGTTTCATTTTTCCACACGTGTGTGTGTGTGTGTGTGTGTGTGTGTGTGTGTGTGTGTGTGTGTGTGTGTGTGTGTGTGTGTGTGTGTGTGTGTGTGTGTGTGTGTGTGTGTGTGTGTGTGTGTGTGTGTTTCTGTCAGGATGCCTGTGTGTGGTTGACCAATTAGACCCCAGGTATTGAGCCTAAAGGTACAGTGAGCAGGTCTCAAAAGCTCCTGCATGCTCCGTTTGAACTCAGATCTGGTTTAAAAATCAGTGAAAAGCTCAATATCAGCAGCTTACATAATAAAGGCACCTTGCCCTCCACTGACAGGTAAATAGTGGTGGTTTCACCTGGTGTTCCCTTTGTTCACAGATGCATGAAGGTCATATCAGTGCTTTGTTGCAGCAGTTGCCAGTGTTCTCCATAAATCCTCCTCTATAACACTTTAATTATCTCTCTGTTTTTTTCCTATCAAGTCATAACCTCTTTTTTCACTCCAACAATCTTTTAATCTCCTTTTTGTCTCTGTCCCTGAAGGTAAGAACCCCACTGACAGCGAGGCAGCAGGGGACTATGGAGTTCCCGCTCCTGGGCCTGCATTCAAAGAGGTGTGGCAGGTGAAGGTGTGGCCCAAAGGCCTGGGTCAAGCCAAGAACTTGGTGGGCATCTACCGCCTTTGCCTGACTGACAAGACGGTGAACTTTGTCAAGCTCAACTCTGATGCTGCTGCTGTGGTACTGCAGTTGATGAATGTCCGACGATGCGGCCATTCAGAAAACTTCTTCTTCGTTGAGGTTGGACGCTCTGCCGTGACAGGCCCGGGCGAGTTCTGGATGCAGGTGAGCCTGTAATCTGCAGCCCCCTTTATGTTGAGAGTTGCACCCTCCAGTCCCACATATATATTTAGAACCTATAATCAACAGAGTCAGAGAAACTGAGTTGCCCAACGTTTTGGTTGTAGATCGTGTAACCCTACATTATGATCCAGTTTATAAAGGTCATTGCTTGAACGTAGCTTGAAGCTGGAAAGGCAGTGGAAACATTATACGATATACATAGGCTTTAGATATTTTAACTTAATCTTAAATCAATTTACGTATGTTTGCGAATTAACCTGTTTCACAAGTGTCGTTAATTTAATCCCAGAAAGCAGTCAGAAATTAAAGAAACCAACAAATCAGTATTTGAGCTGCCCTGTCTTAAAGATACTCCTTAAATACAAATTTAATTTAAATGCAAACATTTTCCATGAGAATCAGAAATTTTAATGTCCACATATTCAGTTTAAATTCTCTCATAGTATTTTTTCACCAAATTACCTCTAGTTCTTTAACCAGTTATGTTCAAGATTCTTGGAAGCTTGGTGCTATCTAGTGGACCAGTCCACGTTTCCAACACAAAGTAATCCAGGATGCATCATCAACAGCCTGTAGAATATGACACGCCTATTTGGTTCTCAATGAAAACCTGTTATTAATTTGGTTCCAGCTGGGAACCAACTTTTTGGGTTCCAAACAATTTATTTTTGGTCGAAATGGTCTGAACGATTCAAAACTAGGTGTGTGAAATAGAACAGAGCTGGTTCACTGTTGGTGGAAATGACCAGTGGTTTGATTTGCAACTATGAATGAATTCACAAATACATGTAGAATATACCATAATTATGATTTGGAGTTTACTTTTTGAGGGTTTTTTGTGTCATGTCCTAGGTGGATGATTCAGTGGTGGCCCAGAACATGCATGAAACCTTGCTAGAGGCTATGAAGGCACTGAGTGAGGAGTTCCGCCAACGCAGCAAGTCTCAGTCGAACTCCGGCCCCGGAGGAGGTGCCACTGCTTCAAACCCTATCAGTGTTCCCTCACGGCGCCACCACCCAAACCCTCCACCCAGCCAGGTGGGCTTCACCCGCCGGCCTCGAACTGAGCCTCCAGGAGGAGCTAACGGTGGAGCAGGGGTCAGCAGTGCCAGTGCCTCTCCCACCCCACGCCATAGCTTCCCCAGGTCTCGCACTGCCAGTGATGGGGGGAAAGGTGATGACGGGATGTCTGGAACCACACCGCTCCAAGGGCCAAGCTCCAGCCCCTCTACCAATGGGTCCTGCTCCACCACCCCAATCCTCAGGTCGAAATCAGCCCGCTCAGCCCCCACCTCAGCTGCTAAAACTCCTCTTGGGTTGATGCGATCCATCTCGACCCCAGCGCCCTCCCCAGCCCCAAGCCTCTCCTCTAGCTCTGGACATGGCTCTGAATTTGGAGGTGTAACATCCTCTGCTGGTGCTGGTCCGTCAGGTGCTTACAGTCGTGTCCCTTCCCATCGCGCATCTGTTTCAGGCTCACCCAGTGACTATGGCTCCTCAGATGAATATGGTTCTAGTCCTGGGGATCACACGCTCCTACCCTCCCCGAGCCTCCCTGGAAGCTCTGTTGGTAGTGTTGGCAGCCAGTCCCTTGGTGAGGAGGGAGCCAACTATATCTTAATGGGCCAACGTAGTGGTGGTGGTGGCGGTAGCAGTAGTAATCAAGGGAGCTTAACAAACAGCTCGCTGCCAGCACCAGGAACACCAGCCTGTGGCTCCCAGCCCCAGACCAGGAGAGTGCTCCGGCGCTCCTCCAGCCGCGAATGTGAAGCTGAACGTAGGCTGCTGAGCAAGCGGGCTTCATTACCTCCAATGGCCTTGGAGAGGCTGGCCCCACGTCAGCGCAGAGCTGAGGAACCAGCAGATGAAGATTCAGCGGATTATGCCATCATGTCGAGGAGCACCAGCCGAGAGTCCTTTACTTCCACCTCCTCTTCCACACAGAGGGAATCTGTAATGGGTTCTGGGTCAGCAGGGGGAGGGTACTTGGATGTAGCGGGTGAGTTCAAAAGTGAAGGGGGTGGAGGAGCAAGTGGTAGTATAGATTTAGGTGTGGACAATGGGTACATGTCCATGCTGCCTGGTGTCACTCAGCCTCCAGTATCCCTGTCCCAATCATTGGCTGTCTCTGTTCCAGACTCAGATTCCAAACCTGCTGATGATTATATGGCCATGACCCCTAACAACAGTGTGTCCCCTCCACAGCAGATCAGGCCTCCACCAACATCTGATGGCTATATGATAATGTCTCCCAATAGCAGCTGCTCCCCTGACCAGCGTGGTGGTCTCTCTGGAGGCGCTTGGGTGGACAGTGGTAGTGCAGACAGTAGGGCAGGCAGTGACTATATGAACATGTCTCCAATCAGTGCACGTTCTGTAAATGGAAGCCCCCCACCTCCTGAGCACACTGGCCATTTGGAGACCAGTTCTCAACAGCAAGCTCCCAAGATGGTATATTCTTACTATTCACTTCCCCGGTCATACAAACACAACCCCTCTGCTGGACACTTTGATGATGGGCCTGGACGAGGCAGAAGGCCCAATGGCGGTTGTAGTAGAGGAATGGGAGGAGGCAGGACTATGGGGGGGCGTCAAGAGCAACCAGCAGCAAGCAATTCAATGGTTGGAAGACACCTCTCACTCTCCTCTTCCTCATACTCCTCCAGCTCAGCCAGCAGCGAGAGCCTTGGAGAGAACGAGGACCGACCTACTCAGTCGGTGAGCACCATGGCAGGGGGAGCTCAATCCAAAGATGGGAGTAAGCTACAGCAGAGACGGAGTTCAGGTGGATTGTCCAAGCAGGGTAGCCACACCAGAAGCAGACCAGTGAGCCTGTTTGTTGATGTATCCAAGGCAAACACCCTTCCTAGAGTCCGTGAGAACCCGCTGCCCCCAGAACCTAAGAGCCCTGGGGAGTACGTAAGCATTGAGTTTAAGGGGGAGAAGAGCAGTCAGACTGGGGTTGGAGGAGGGCGCGGCAGGGGTCTCAGGCATGGCTTATCATTGCCTCATGGCTCAAGCAACAAGCATCCTCAACACAGGCCCACGTCTTGCTTAGGGAACTTCCTCCCCCTATCCCGTAGCCCCTCTGCCCCCATCACTCCCCCAGCTGCCTCTGAGTATGTCAACATGGACTTGGGCCCTTCTCCATCCCCCTCACCCCTTACTCCACTAGTTTTCCCTACTTTCCACACCCCTCCCACACCTCCAACTCTCGCTCATGCCCCAAAAGCCTGTGAGGAGGGTACTACTAGACCTGGTGAAGAGGGGGCCGAAGTAGCACAGGCCCCACTTAGGAAAAACAGAGAAAGTGTTCCATCAGTGTCCCCAACATCCTGTGGAGACTACACAGAGATGGCTTTCAGCCTGAATAGTAACACTGTCCCTAGGTCATCCTCCAGTGTCTCCCCCAAAGCCCCTTCCCCCACCAGGACTGATCCTACTGTTCCAGTGCTATCACGGGGTCTAGACTTCCCCCTAGCCAAACCAGGACCCAACCCGGACCATGGTGCAAAAGTTATCCGGGCTGACCCCCAAGGACGCAGACGGCACTGCTCAGAAACCTTCCTTGCTTCACCTTCACTCCCCACCTCTAACTCTACTTCCTCTTCTTCCACTGCCTCACTCTTTCCAGAACATGCCCAAGCTGTGGCCCGCCGACTGGGCTTTGAAAGCATGCTGTGGGGAAATGGTGCTGTGACCGATAACCCCACTCAGTTTGCGCTCCCCGGACAGCAGTCCCTTCCCACAAACACTCAGACTTCGTCCACAGAGCAAGGCCTTAACTACATAGACTTGGACTTGGCCAACAAAGAGAGCCCCCATTTGGGCCTGGATGGACCCTCAGGTAGCCAGGCCCCCTCTCGCCTCTTCTCTGTACTAGGTGGAGGTTCTGGGGTCGGGGGAGTGAGCGCACCGGTCGTCGTCGGCAGCAGCAGCAGCAGCAACTCCAGTCTCAATACTTACGCCAGCATCGACTTCTACAAATCAGAGGAGCTGCGGACGCATCAGAATGGAAGCAAGGAGGGAACAGGTAAGAGTTGCCTTTATTGTTTTTAGAACACATTTGTTGGACCGTGTTTAGGTTCTTTAGTTTTCCCTTCGCACAAACACACTCTGTGATTTCTTTCTTTTGTTCAACCTTAACTTTCTCTTCCTACTTATGCTTCGTCACATTTCAAGATAATCCAATGGAGCCAACACAGCCTCCCTCTCCATCTATGCTTGTAATGAAACTTCACCTGACGCCAGATTAGAGTGTAGACACCAGTCTGATTTGTGTGACTGTCTGCATAATCCACAATATGAGATATAGATCGACTGCTCTGACAATTTATAGATAGATTTCCTTCTCAGGGGCTTGGTGCACCTCTACAGGCATATGGACTTTTTTACCTTATGTGATTATGAAAGGTGCTGAAAGACAGACAACCTATTGGAATATCAATGAATATAGATGTTGTGGAAATTACCATTGATCCCCTCAAGACTCCTTCAAAGCGTTCTTAGTGCTACACCACTACCTCCATTCAGTTTTTCCTTTCCTTGTGTTTATATATGACAAGTGGCAGAATCCTGAGCTGTTGCAAACAGCTCATCGCAGTGCTACTCCTAGCAAAAGAAACCATTCAGACCCACCACTGAGGCATTGTATTGCAAGTTCAATAAAGTTGAACTTTGACCCTCTTTTCCATTGACCTGTCAACCTAAGATTCTCCGATGTGACATGAGTAGAAGAAAGCAATAGAGCAGAATAATGATTGTTCCATGAATGACTGAAATGTTATCTTATTTAACGAGTTTCCAGAGCCCTACAACTTTAAAATGCAAATGATGTTATGTAGGAAAATAAGCAAGCATTGAAGTGGGGTTGCCAGGTTTGTAGAAAAAAATAGTTTATTATGATTTGTATGCTTAACTCAAGCAGAAAGCTCTGGTTGTTTAGTTTGGCCTACTACAAAGTTAAAAACAGTTTTTACGATTAGCTTTTTTTTCCTGTGATCGCGTACTCGAATGAACGCACAAAAATCTACAGTTGTGCTGTAACTGCAACTTTTTTGTTGAGCAGGGAGGTCAGTAAGGCCAGATGATGAGTTTTCATTGTATTTACATTTTTCCTACTTTGTGGGGCAATTTTCTAGCTGTGGGGGATCACCACAGCTAAACAATGCCTCAACTAGGTCACCGTGAGACGTTTCCTCATCGAAAAACATTCTCTTTGAGCCACTGTCTGCACTAAATTGGCCTGTTAAGAAATAGACGCCTGCAGTTTAAGCAGATAGAGCAACATTTAAATGGAGATGTGGATTTATATGCATCAGTAAAACACTCAGTAGTCTTACTTAACCTTCCACAGTGGGGCTCTTGTGATGAATGCATCCTGCCAAACCTTGTTGTTTATATAGCACTGCTAGCCTCCGCATGATTTGTACTGTAGGTTGTGTTAGACTTAAACCTCATGGGTTTTTGTGGTAAACGTTTCATAACCCGGCTCCGCAGTTGGATTTAATAAAAAATGTAAGGCATTAGCGAAAATTCATCATGAGATCTTGCGGTGAGTGCAGTAAGGCTGAGCTCAACAGTTGGGTTTCATAGATTCCACAGAGGGAAATGAACCATCAGCCTGCATCCATACGTCGCCGTGTTGGTTTTATTGGGAATTGGAGGCCATGTTGGTGGAAGCAGGCGGTGTTGTTGGATGTATTTTTAAGTATAAATGCTAGCAGGCTACCACAGTGGGAACATATGGGCTCTGGCTGCTGAGTATGTCAGCGGGGCAGCGTGGGGGAGAATGTTACACATTGGCTGTGAATGTTGAGATGGGGCCAGTGTTTCACTCACACAGCTCTCGAATGCCTCTGTACAGTGTTCCCCCTCCTTTCATCCCTCCATTCCGCCTCCCCCTCTTTCCTCCTCCAATAAATGATCCTTTTGTTCGAGTGTTTTTGCCACGGTGGGCTGGCGGGCCTCAGCAGGGCCAAGCCCCAAGACTAGTGGACTCTCCTGAAACCGTTTTCTCTTGCACTCCATAATTTGTGGCCTCTCTATCTTGCTTTCTTGATTCTTTTCTTACCGTATTTTCCTCTTAATTACTGTCTTTGTATTTTTGTTTTTCTATTTGACTACTTGTCCTTGCACTTATTCCTTCTCAATCTTTGTCCTCGTCCGACATCTAGGCTGATGGATTTTTGAAATTCCTTCCCTCCCCTCTGTTCACTACACATACTGTTGTTCAACATTTTTTTCACCAAAACCTCTCCTGTCTTTACGCCTTTTGTCCTCCTCCCTTTTCACATTGTGTTTCGCTCCATCCTTTTAAACGCTTGCAGAGACACTTAAAAATAGATTTTAGTACCGCGCTGAGACATTTTCCTTTTTTGCTGCAGAGCAGACAGCAACCAGAGAAAGAGACAGACGAAAACAAATTTGAAAAGCAAAAAGACAGAGATGGTACAACCAATCTATGCGTTACTATAAACAAAATACAGTTTAGAAGCGATTAATTATCTTGTCATGGATCTTGTGTGCTTTTTTTAAGCATTCTGATCTGCTGTAATTACAGGGATTTTTTTTTCCTCCAACAGGCACCAGCTTGTATAGGCTGAGTGTGTGTATGTCTCAGGGGTGCGTACTTTTGGCACAGAGAGCCTAAAGGCTAAATTTGAGCATCAGTAGTGGGACATGTGCCAAAAACAATCCTATTGCACACTGCTTATGTAATGTGTAACGTGTAAAAATAACCTCTCGATTTAGATAAAGAGGAAAAGGAGGGTGAGATGTTTCACTCTAAATGAGTCTTTTAGAAATAAAATGAAATCAAAATGAATCAGCTTCATTGAATTTGATATGTGTGTGTTTTTCTTTGCCTTGCAGCAGACGTTTTTAAATCTGTGTCTTTGTGTAGAAAATATGAGTGTCTGCGTCGATGTCTTTGCTTTTTATGAGCAAAGTTCAGCCAAAGTGTGAGAGACGGTGACTGCAATGTGTCTTTTTCACTCAGCTGTGTGGATCTTTGTGGGTGTGTTGGTGTTTCCCTACATAACGGAAGAGTGTCGTGACCTTCAGCAGAACGGAGTGAAAAATTCCCCTATGAAGTGGATGAGGATTTTTTGGGACAAAATGTTAATTTAAATTCAATCAGCCACCGCTCCCACAATCTCCTCCAGGAAAACCATGTGAGAGAATTTTATTATCCGCGCTTCCAGCTGTCCCTTAACTTTATTTCTTTACCATCTGCTGGAGGATGCGTATGCCAGTCTCAAAATAACCTGTAGCCCTTTAAAATTCTTTCCCTGGGACACCCTGCTTTGAGGAAGAAGTTTCTAACAGGGAGTTGCATGCATATGCATAGTTTAAAGTCCAGCCTTCATGCATGCACCACATTTGGATTTAATCTGTAAACACATTTAAAAACTTGAAATCTAAACAAAATTCTGTTTAGCTTTCCATCATTTCTGAATCACAAGAACATTGTTGTTCACAGACGCAGAACTGTTTACATTTGTTTACTGTTGGCTAATTGGGCAAAACTCATGCATGACCAATTGGATCAGTATCTTGTGTGTGTGCGTGCGTGTGTGTGTGTGTGTGTGTGTCTGTGCGTGTGTGTGCACTCCTAGTGTCTATAATCTTTATACTTGTTTTCCAGTTTCAGATTGAATCACTTGTTACAGAAATGGAAATAGATTTTCATAGATTGTGTCTTGAATTCAGTGCAGTGGGAGAAATGGCAAACATTGTGAGGTTGTTTTAAGGAATTAAGTGTCATTTAGTTTGATTTTCGTTCACATTGGAGTTGGCGATATAGATAAAATCTTCTATCACATAATTGAATTTGGGGATATTGATTTTATATTGTGATACAATTTATTATATTAATTTAAGAAGCTGATTAAAGATAAAGTAACCAGATGAGAAGTTTTTTTTCTGGTTAATACAGTGAAATAAAGCCGCCAGATATTGATAGAAAAAGGTCTGAATTTATAATATTCCAATAAAACTTCTATCAGTATATGTTTAAAAAACACCAATAATACTAAAATGACAGCTGAAATTTAACCTTAACTGCATAGAAATAAAACTACATTGACCCTGCCAGTGTCATGTAGTTTTATTAGTAATACTGCTGGTGTTTCTGCACCCAGTTGGCAGCTAGTTGGCACATTCCCGCCCCCTCAAAGTCCCAGGTCATGTGGGCCAGGGAGAGGTAAACATACTTAAAGTCTGTCAGTGGAGCAACCTGGAACTCACACCAAGTCCTTTTAGCAACCAAATCATTTCCACAGTTACGTAATTCTGTGTCTGTGTGAATCAATGAAACACATCACCTTTCTGACCAAGCGGTATCAGGGGCCGCCAATTTAATAGAAATGTAAGTATAAGTCTGGTTTATTACAACTGAGTCTTAGTTTCGCTTTGATCATAGTTTATTTGGGTTAAGATGATGAGATTAGTGAGGATGGTGACATTGCCACAACGACAGGAAACAAGCTCTAAACCGCCGTATTTGTTGTTAAAACGGAAAGTTGGAAAGCTGGAAATGTGGAAAAATGAAAAACTGTGTATACACATACACAGTAAGAAGGCCAAAGACTGAAAGACAGACTGAGACTGATATTTACAACAGACAGTTTGGGTAGATCTTTCTTCTTCTCTAACTTGGTAAATTCATATCATTATTATTACTGATAGAAATGGTTGCCAAGGCTATAAAAAAAAGTAAATAAGACTCAAGTTGTAATAAATCAGATCTGTCGTTTTAATTATTTAATCATTAAATCATTAAACTAACAAGCATTCAAAATTCAAATGGATTTATTGGCGTGACGTAACACTGTACACATTGTCAAAGCAAGCGTTTGGACGTTAATTGGACAATAAATTAATTCCTCTTCACAAAACACAGTTTTCCTCCTGCAGCTGACAGGCTTTTATCTTGCTGGGTGTGCAATCCAGGGCAACACTATGTTAGACTGACAGCACTAGTAGTGTTATGTAAAACACAACCACGTGAATGGGACATGACCCCCACCA